TACTCTCTGAAGATGAAAAAAAAAAAAAAAACTTCTTCAGGAAGCTGTGCTCAAATAATCAGAAGTATTCAAGGAGAGGATGGATGACCACAGAAAAAGGATATTATAGAACTGGATTCCAGAATTAGCTAGATAAAGAGACTAACGTTTAGTGTTATCTACAATTCTGAAAACAGTAATATCAATACTTAGCTAATATTAATAACAGTTAAACATTTATTGAGCTCTTATAACAAGAAGGGGACTGTACTGAGCCAAACAATCCATCATGTTACAGGTGAAAGAACAGGGGCTCAGCAAGCTTAAGTCACTGGCCCACATCACTTAATTGGCAGAGCTGAGACGCAAAATATCTCCTGTCTCGGAAGGCAGTGAGAAAAAGAATTTCCAGAAAGTGCCCCTGGAAAGATGCATAAAATAAAAGCCAGATAGATTACCTCTGTCTGATATCTTTATAGAAAATGCTCTTGAGTAAGTAGTAGTGATTTTGCTTTATTTTGTTTTGGTTTTTTTTTTTTTTTTGATGGACAGATAACCCTGGCTATAAGTATATAATACAGTGAAGGCAAATACTGAAGAGTTATAGGAGAAATGAGTAAATGAAAGATGAAAACATCTGAAGTCATATTACTTTAGAATTTAAAATTATTCTACATGGCATCAATATAGTATTACCCCAGCACCAATCAACAGAAATGAAATTACCCAATTCTGCATGAAATTAACAATGCTACCTTAATTTCTATAGTGAAATTATTTTTAATAAATCACTGCAGTGACATCATTCTGTATACACTAGCAATCACAGCCTTTTGGAAAGAAGATTGATTTATATGACTCCTCCTTTCCTATAAGTGAGAGCTTCTCAAAGTAATAAATGGAATTCCCTTTTAATTAAACATATCCTTATGCTTAAAATTTTTTTTTTAATTTTAAAAAACAGAAATAATAAATCACTTGTATAAGCTTTGTTAACATGCAAAACCAAGGAAAAAATGGTTCGGGAAGCACAGACATCCTGGAAGTGATACAGTTCTTGATAATCTGTTTCAACAACCTCAATTCTGGCTTTCATACCAGAAACTCACAACATTCACACTAGACAACCAAGTTGATCTTATCTGAGTAGAAATGAAAAGGTATAACAGAAAATTGCCACGAACAAGATAGTAAATGAAATATATCTCAATAAATTTAGGTTGTAAATAGATTTAAAACAAACAAAAAAAAAGCCACAGCAAATGGTCTAAACTATGGAAAGAACAAAAGGGCAAGCATGTATTAGCCCTTCCAGTTAAAAAAAAAAAAAGCCACAGCAAATGGTCTAAACTATGGAAAGAACAAAAGGGCAAGCATGTATTAGCCCTTCCAGATTCTGTTGACAATGAATAAAAAGAGCTAACAACAACCCTTTAAAATGCTTTCCTGCTTCCTGCATAGGGTAATTTTCATTCATAGAACACCATCAATTAAAATTTGATGAAAAGAGAGAATTATTTTAAAGGACAAAAGGATTAGCACAATTTTTCAAAAGAATCTCAAGTCATCCATACAAATTGCACAAAAGGAGCTTGATTATTAATTATTTTATAAAAGAGAAGCTATTTTGTTTCAAAATTAACTCCTATAGGAGTATTAAAATAGACTTCTCTGGGATACTTTAAATTTAAAAGAATACAAATCAAAGTATGCAAAATAATAAATTTATTGGGAAAAAAATTAATAATTATTGACATTAACAATATGTCAGGCATTACGCAGCACACATTATATACATCATCTAACAAAAATTCAAGGCACACAGTATCCTATATTTAATTTATAGGATGTTAACTAAGGCTAAGTAAGATTAGGGTAACTGTCCAAGTAACAGACCCTGAAATCAAACCAAGGTCTAACCCAGAGTTCTTTAGAACTAGCCCAAACTTTATTTCATCTGTTACAATTAATCTTCTTATAAATAATTATTCAACTTGACCTGGACTTAACAGTTTTCATCACAAATTCTGAATTCATGAGCCCAGAATAAATGAATTATCTGCATTTCTCTTCCCTCCCAATTTTTCTGCTCTTCTAATTTTCTCTCAAAGAAAACAAACATGCCACCATTTAAAATATAAAACCAAAAAGGATACAATTCAACCACAAATTCATTGATATTCTCCTGAAAGGAATAAATCTCAATATCTAAAAAAAAAGTCAACTACAATTTTAAAAAATATACACTTTGTTCCATATACTTAAAATTTTTATATAAAAAGAATTGTGTTTAAAGTTCCAATAATTACTGTGTAGATATAAGAACTTCATTTGGGCATAAGATTATGGAATATGGAAACAGTAAGTTTTCCACATTTTCCTGAAGGGACTTTGTGTGTAATTTTGCTTTGTTTTGTTTTGCAATGGGAGAGAGAATTGCCAAATATTTAGAACACTTAAGAATACTCAACTCTTAAAACAAAATCAATGCTTCTGCAAGTACATTACACCTTAACAACAGCTGGCCTCTAGGTCTATCCTAAATGACAGGGTTAGGAACCAAAGTTCAGAATGAGAAATAGAGAAATTTGGTAGAAAGGGTCATTCTGAGTGACTTAAAAGATCACAACTTATCATCTGTAGCTCAGGCATCCTAAGCAGTGATACTGTAGTGATATCACCCTGGCAAACAGTACTATTAACATAAGAAACTTAATAGAACTAGAATGTTCTTTCAGCTTTGATTACCTAAAAGTACTATATACAGACTCAGGAGAAGTGAAAACTTTTCCCATTAAAGTACTTTCTTGCCTATTTCTCCCCTTAAAACACCATTCAGAGCCTGAAGCATATAGTTATGCCAGAAAGTAAGGAAGTGCTGAAACAATGATATGAACATGTCAAAAGGATACACAAGCTATCGTGGAGGGGCTTCCCATGGGTCAGATATGGAAGTACTTAAGCATCAAAATAAATGATGATAGTAATAAATTATATAATCCACTAAATAAAATAGTAATCCATGAGTCCAAATTTATATAGATACATAGACAGATATGCAGACAGACCAATAGACAAATGGGAGAAAATGAAGAGATATTGCCTACAATAAAATGTCAACTGATAAAAGCAGAAGGAATGATGACATTTGAAAATTAGCCTTACAGCCATAATGATAATTGATTTAAGCAAGGACTACTGGCGGAGTCTAAAACAAGTGCAAATTTGATGAGAAACAGTGTAATTACACAATCTCATTGTATGTGGACACAAATTACTTACTAATTACAAAGATAGAACTGACAAAGATCAGAGTTTAAAAATACTTATTAATTTACAGTGGAAAAACCTCACAGAACATCATCACAATCAAGTGATCAAAAATGTAAAATCATTAATCATGGGACATGGCCCTCATGTGCCACTTGCTCTTATACACTGAGAAGTACACACCACCACTTCTACGGTAATTTACAGGGGGGGCCTGCTGGGTACAGGGATCAAACCCTGGACCTTGGTGTTATATTTCTATGGTATTTTTACTAAAAAGCATAACCTGAATCTAATCATGATAAAAATATCTCAAATTGAGAGGCCAACATAAGACCTGACCTCATCAAAACTGTCAATGTCAAGAAAGAAAAAGAAAAACTAAGAAAGGATACACAAGCTATCGTGGAGGGGCTTCCCATGGGTCAGATATGGAAGTACTTAAGCATCAAAATAAATGATGATAGTAATAAATTATATAATCCACTAAATAAAATAGTAATCCATGAGTCCAAATTTATATAGATACATAGACAGATATGCAGACAGACCAATAAACAAATGGGAGAAAATGAAGAGATATTGCCTACAATAAAATGTCAACTGATAAAAGCAGAAGGAATGATGACATTTGAAAATTAGCCTTACAGCCATAATGATAATTGATTTAAGCAAGGACTACTGGCGGTTTTCCTGAAGGGACTTTGTGTGTAATTTTGCTTTGTTTTGTTTTGCAATGGGAGAGAGAATTGCCAAATATTTAGAACACTTAAGAATACTCAACTCTTAAAACAAAATCAATGCTTCTGCAAGTACATTACACCTTAACAACAGCTGGCCTCTAGGTCTATCCTAAATGACAGGGTTAGGAACCAAAGTTCAGAATGAGAAATAGAGAAATTTGGTAGAAAGGGTCGCTTATCAATGCTAAATTTCCTAATTTTCATAATTATACTGTGCTTATATGAGATGACATTCTTGTCCTTAGGAAATAGTCATACCTCAGAGATACTGAGGGTTCAGCAGTCAGCACAATAAAGTGAGTATTACAATAAAGAGATTTTCTTGGTTTCCCAGTGCATACAAAAGTTATGTCTACACTATACTGTAGTCTATTAAGTGTGCGTAGGAAATAGTCATACCTCAGAGATACTGAGGGTTCAGCAGTCAGCACAATAAAGTGAGTATCACAATAAAGAGATTTTCTTGGTTTCCCAGTGCATACAAAAGTTATGTCTACACTATACTGTAGTCTATTAAGTGTGCGATAGCATTATGTCTAAAAAACACAATGCACATACTTTAATTAAAAAATACTTTATTACTAAAAATATTTGAAAATGGTGCAGATAGACTTGCTAGACGCTTGCCACAAGCTTTCAATTTGTAAAAAACACAGTATCTACAAAGCACAATAAAGCAAAGCGCAATAAAACGAGGTATGCCTGTATACAACTAAATACTCAGGGATTAAAAAAAGCAATGCTCTTGAGTCTTCAAGTCAATTTGAAACAACAGCAAATACAGGGAGTGGGAAATACACAGGACTTCTTTGTACTATTCCTGAAACTTCCCTAAGTTTGAAATTATACCAATATAAAAAGAAACAAGAGATTTATATCATTAAATTTTTAAGCTAACAAGAAATCATTGTATAAGAAAAGTTTTTGAAAACTACAAGAATCACTCTGAACATCTTAGCAGTGCGACTGGGTGTCTCAAAACCATTCTCATGCTGTTCCTTCTCTTACCTTTCTAACAGATTGTGGATGGCTTTGAAGAGCAGCGTCCTACATTCATAGGAAAGGCCATTTTCCCAGAGTCCTTCTTCCACAACTGGAAAAAAAAACAGGAAAAAGAAAAAAAAAAGAACCAGTAAAAAGGACATCCAAACAAAAATAAAGAAATTTTTAAAACATTTTTCTGAAGCAAAGTTAGAGTTAATTTAAATCGCTTAAAAATCTCACACAAACAACAGAAAGTTAAATACCTGCCAAAGTTTAAAATACTTACATCCGAAAGGAAATGTGTTTTGATTTTAAAGACTTTGAAATATGAGGTATGAATACACAGTCCCCCCTCCTATAAAGATCTTCCTTCTCAACCTGCTTCTTCAAAGTTTAAAATTATTTGAAATTCTCAAATTAATCTTTCTACCTAACAGTATCACAAAGATTTATTTTGTTAAAGTTCTGCTTAAAGGTAAAAAGAATATCACAAATTAATACCAAGGTTATGATATGCATTTTTCAAAGGGAAAATCAAAAGGAAAAAATTTCCCAAAGTGTCATATTACACAAATTTCTTTAAATGCCTTGAGGGTTGTATCTAGATGGGATTTTAAGGACACAATTTTTGGGAGACTGTCATAACATTACATCTTACTATATAACACCAAATTCATTTTCTGAATTCAGAATTTTGTTAATATTTGGCATTTTGGGAAATATCATATTTGCCTTTGAAATATGTTATAACATTGAGCCACAAATAACTCTAACACCAAGAGAATCCAACAGACTAACAATGCCCCATGCATTCCTCAAATTCTTTTTCTTTCCATAAATATGTAAACAGATATAAAATGCCCTAGAGAAGATAATTTCCTTTTAAATTATATAACTTTAGTTTAAGATAACAAAAAATTGAAAGGATAAAAACATTTGCAGAAGAAAATGTCCTCTCCCTTTTACCTGTTATCTTGGGGAAAAAGCATTCACCAGAGAAAATTTTGACAGAGAATTAAAACATGCACTAAATCCAGAATGTATTTGTCATGCTTTTAAACCTTAACAATAGACATACCAAAATGCATTTTCATATTCTCCAATCAGATAGCATTGAATAAGTGTATTTACATTCATGCCTTCTATCTGTAAGACTTTTTAAAAATTATATAACTGCATATTTTTTCCTGGTATGTCAGATAACTTCATTTTCCTTCCTATGTGATTAATCCTGATTTACCAAATTTTCCCAAGGCAACTTCTGTCAAAAAACATTTTGTTATTTATAGCTACAGAAATGCAAATAAAGTACAGCAAATAGGCAAACACTACTGCTAACAACAGATAGTCTCTGCTCAAGACAAAACATACAAAAGTTTTTCTACAATTCTCTGAAGGTATCATGAATCTCTGTTCTCACACATTTTGGGCAGAGCTCTTCTGGGTTTGAAAGAGAGCTGATATCTCAATAAAAAGAATACTCCTTCTTAATTTGCTTTTCTTTCCTAATGTGTTCACTGACCCTAAAGCACCACCGATTTTAAAAAGCACCATTATTTTATAAATCACTGAGAGAGGGGAAGGTGACAAACTATAACACCGTTCTTACCATTTACAATTTTTCACTTTACAATTATTTAAAGAACTCCTTTAGACTTACTGAGGCATGTTCATCATATATCACTATGGTGCATATATAAGATGGATATATAAGCAAAATAAATTAGTTGAAAATTCCTACAACTACATCAGTATTACAAGTCCAGTTCTTTTGAATCACTTGTTAACTCAGTCACTAGTACCACTGTTTTTCCACATAACAGTCATTGTGCCATAAAGGGTGTTAGTGATGCAGAATTTATGAAAAGTGTTCCACTCTTATTTCCAGGATTTTCTTCCAAGTTGGTGACACCTATTTGACACTTTTTTTTAACTTCTTATACTTAAAATCTTCAAATATACTAGAAAACAGAATAATAAGCCCCAATAAATTCCTAAACCAAATTATCAACATTACATCATCATCTTCAACCCCCCTGCTTTCTTTTTGTTTTTCTTGATATATGGGGTCCACCCTTGAACAACATGGGTTTGAACTGCACAGGTCCACTTATACTCAGATTTTTTTCAATAAATACAGCCAGCTCTCCATATACACAGGTTCCACATTTGCAGATTCAACCAACTTCTTAACAAAATATACCGGATATGGAACCCACATACAAGGACAGCAACTTTTCATATCCACAGGTTCAAGCAGGACCTACTGAGGGATTTGAGCATCCACGAATTTTGGTGCCAGCAGGAGTCCCAGAACCAATTCCCTGTGGATTACCAACGGATGATTGTACTTTAGAGCAAATCCTACTACAAAATACTCTAAAGAAGACTCTAAACAAGGTGTAAAAATTGTCTCTAAGACTCCTTTAACCTAGAACAGCTTATTCTTTTTTAAAAACATGCTGTTCACTTACTGAGGAAACCAGGTTGGTTGTCTTATAGAATATCTCATTCACATATAATTGCTTCCAATGATTTCATTTTGCAAGTTTTAATGTTGGTGCTACCTTGAACTTATCAGAAGATGTCAAAGAAAAGTTCTCAGACAAAACAGCCAGAACTTTTTATTTCTTCCTCAAATGGTTCTCAAGTACTTTGTTAACTAAAATGTTGAGGTGTTTACAGCTGTAGTCATATGATACGGAACATTATACAAGTTTGGGCATGCACAGGCAATGCCAACTTTATCATAATAGCTGCACTGCCAATTCAATTTTAAGATACCATTATAATTTCATCCTGATTTCAATGATTTTTAAATATATCTGACAAAGGATTTTTTTCTTTTAAAGAAGAAAAAACTAAACTAAAAGAACAATTACCAAAACCCTACAACTAACATCATACTTAATGGTAAAAGACTAAAAGGTAAGGATGTCTGCTCTCACCACTCCTATTCCACATTATACTTGAGGTCTCATCCAGTACAATAAGGCAAGAAAAAGAAATCGCATGCATATGAATTGGTATGGAAGAAATAAAGTTATCTCTATCTACATACAACACAACTGCCTAGTAGAAAATCCTAAAGAATCAACAAAAAAATCTACTAGAACAAAAAGTGAGTTTAGCTAAATCACAAAACATAAGGTCAAAAGACACAAAACAATCATATTTCTATATACTGAAATGAATAATTAGAAATTAAAATGTTTATAGTATCATTTACAGTAGCACCAAAACCCACGAAATCCTTGGGTATAAATCTTACAAAATATGTGTAACATCGATAAGCTGAAAACTACAACTGATAAAAGATATCAATAAGACATAAACAAATGCATAAATAAATTGACCATTAACTGGAAAAATCATTATTATCAGTTCTTCCCAAACAAATCTACAGAGTCAATTCAATTCCAATTGAAATCTCTGAAGGATGTAGTATAAAAATAGAGAAGCTCAATCTATATATTTATATGGAAAGACAAAGGAACTAGAATAACCAAAACAATGTGGTAAAAGAAAAATACAGATGAATGACTTAAATCACCTTATTTCCACATTTACTATGAAGCTAGGATAGACAAGACAACATGGTACTAGAAAAAGGATAGACATGTAGAACAACAGAATAGATAGTCCAGAAATAAACACACAAATATATTGTAAATTTTTTGTCCCCAACAAAGGTTCCAAGGCGATTCAATGGAGACAGAACAAATAGTGGTGGAACTAATGAACATCCCTGTGTACCCAAAAAAAAGAAGAAGAAGAAGAAAATGTAGAAAAAAATCTTGAGCTTAGGTAAGGCAAAGATTTCTTAGATCTAACACCAAAAGCACAATCCATAAAAGAATTGATAAACAGGGCTTCATCAAAATGAACTTGCAGCTCTTCAAAAAATAAGCTATGGAAAAGACAAGCCACAGATGGGAAATAAACACTTACAAATCACATATCTGACAAGGACTTGTATTCAATATACACTGGGTTTGGGGGGTTTTTGTTTATTTGTTTTTCAAAAATCTCAAAACTCAACCCTAAGGAAAAAAAAACAATTTTTAAAATGGGCAAAAGATTTAAACAGACACTTCACCAAAGAAGTTATATGAACAGCAAATAAGTACATGAAAACATAGTCAAAATATCATTTAGTCATTAAGAAAATGTAAATTAAAATCACAATGAGATATCACTATTAGAATGGCTTAAAAGAAAAACTGACAATTCTAAGTGCTGATGAGCATACAGAGTAGAATACCTGGAACTGTCATATACTGCTGGTAGGAATGCAAAAATAGTAGAGCCACTTTGGAAAAGTTGACTTGGGCAATATTTAATACTTTTTTTTTCCTTCTTTTTTTTTTTTTGGTGGTTGGCCAGTATGGGGAACCAAATCCTTTACATTGGTGTTACAAGGCTGCACTCTAACCAACTGAACTAACAGGCCAGCCCACTACTTTGGCAATATTTTATAAAGTTGAACATATACTAGCCATACAGATCAGCAATCCCTCTGGGATATCATGAAATATGTATTTGGTCTTAGTCCCTGTTTCCTAACATATAGCTCCTAAAATCCTTGGAACCTCTGGTAATAAAACTGTCTTTTGTACACTAATGGAAATGAAATGACTGGTGGCTGGGCCCCTACAGAGCCTCAGGATGAGGGCTGCTTGTCAGGAGAACCAAACAAGTGATTTGAGGGTTGGAACTTTGAGTCCTCACCCCTTCAGCTCCCCCACCCCAACCTCTAGGGAGGGAAGAGGGGCTGGAGTTTGAGCTGATATACTAATGTCCAATAATTTAATCAATTATGCCTAGATGCCTATGTGATAAACCACGCATAAAAACCCAGAAGGACTGAGTTCTAAGAACTTCAAGATAGCTGAACACGTCAAGGTTCCTGGAGGGTGGCACATCCGGAGAAGGCATGAAATCTCCAAGCCCCTTGCCATATACGTTGCTGTATGCATCTCTTCCATCTGGCTATTCATCTGTATCCTTTGTAATATCCTGTATAATAAACCAGTAAACATCAATAAAGTGCTTCCCTGAGTTCTGTGAGCTGCTCTAGCAAATTAATCGAACCCAAGGAGGGGGTTGTGGGAACCCGCATATTTATAGTTAGTTGGTCAAAAGTTCTGGAGGCCCAGACTTGCAACTGGCATCTGAAGTGTAGAACAATCTTGTGGGACTAAGCCCTCAACCTGTGGGACCTGATGTTATCTCCAGGTAGCATCAAATTGAATTGAATTAGAGGACACCAGCTGGTGTCCACTGCAGAATTAATTGCTTGCTTGGGGGGGGCGGGGGGGAGACCCACACACATTTGGTCACAGAAGTATTCTGTGTTACGAGAGTATAGGAGAAGAAACTGAGTTTGTTTTTTCCTATATTCTTAAACACTCCTCGGTATATACTCAAGTATAATAACATGTTCACATGAAAAACTGTAGCAAATAATTATAAGGATTTTATTCATAATTGCCAAAAACTGAAAACCATCAAAATGTCCCTCAGCCAAGGAAGGACAAACAAGTAGAACACCCATACAATGGGATGCTACTCAGAAATAAAAGGGAACTTTCAGTACATGCAAAAATATGAATGAATCTCATAATGCTAAGTGAAAAGAAGCCATGCTCAAAAAGTTACATACTATATGACTCATACAACATCCTTGCAAAGGCAAACTTAAGCTACTGTAAACTTCTCAATGGTTTCCTGAGATGGGGTGGTGGGATGGGTTAATACCAAAAAGACATGGGAAATTTGGGAGGTGATGAAACCGTTACATATCTTGATTGTGGTAGTGGTTACATTACTAAATACAATTGCCAAAACTTGCAGAAATATTTAGCAAATAATGTATTATTTACTAAACACAGTAAATCTTATTCATAATCTTTCACTGCTCTAATTTATATCAACTCATTTTACTATTGGACAAGGCTTCTGAATTTAATCCATCATGAATATACCGACAGTAATCTTTTTGTATTTTTAGTTTTGAAAATGAGAATAAGGTGTGAATCAAAAGGACTCTTACTCTAAACTTAAGTACGTGATTATTTTTTTAACCAAAGGATGTTTAATTGGTTAACTTCATTCATAGATTACTAAAAGCAAAAAAACGCAAAAGTTTCAGCAACAAGAGAATTCAGACCATTGTAGTCCTTCCCAACATCCCAATATACCATTAGTTGTATTATGTACTTCATTTTAAATACTGCAGAGAAAGCAAATGTAACAGAATATAAACGTTTTAAGGAAATATTTTTATTTTGAAATGCTGAAAATTATTTAGAAAAAATTACCCTTATTAATAACAATTTTGCATGGTAAAATCTAGTGGTTGGTGGTGGATAGCAGTAGTTTTCTCATGGAACCAATTCTGCAGTGCTGATCCTAAAAGTGCCCAATAGTTCTGTGAATATCCAATATTCTTTTAATCAACTCTTTTTCTTAGTTTGCAACTAAGAATTCCAACCAATACAAACAGTTCATTCTAACATTCACTTTATAAATGAGAAAACTAACACTTAAAAATCTTAAGAAATTTGCCCAAGGTCACAGAACTAATAAATTCAAGAATCTGGAGTCAAAATTATCTATAGTCAGTAGCCTAAATGGACCAAAGGTATTTTATATCTACTTTTATAAATAATAAATATATTAATTATTCCATTAATTGAACTCAAGGGGAAGCAATTTATTTTCAGAGCTGTAGTGATCAGAAATTTTCAGATATTCATAAACATGTTTTGGATTGAGCTGATATTATGTGCATATACATTTCAAATTTCACTGAAATTAGCTTC